TACTGAAGCTGAGTAGAATGAGCTACTTAATCCTAGAACTGTAGGGTGAGACACATTTGGCGCGAAGGTATTCAAAAAATCAGTTTTTGGTTGTTGCCATGGAAATGGTGGGCCAGAATTTGTTTTCAGATTTTACAACCTAACTCGAGTGAAGGTGTGACTTGCCTGCCAAGTTTGAACTAAATGGCCCAGCCAAAAAAATCACAGAAGAGTCAAATTTGTCGGTAATGAAAAAAGATATCAAAAATTCAAATAGTAACTTTGTGCCCACACTCAAGCTGAGTAGAATGAGCTATGTCTTAGGAGTTTTATCACAACGCTATACAAAAAAACAGGGTTTTTTGGCTGTTACTATGGCAACGGTGGGCCACATTTTTTTTTTTTAGATTTTACCTAATAACGAGAGTGATGGTGTGACCTGCCTGCCAAGTTTGAGGAAAATAGGCCAAGCCAAAATAATCACAGAAGAATTAGTACGTGAAAACACTGGAAATCACACACAGACACAAAAAAATTATTTTAAAGGGCGGTGGTTGTCGCGCTGCGTCCTGTTCGATATGAGACTCATAGCGACGTACAACGCCTGTAAAATACATTGTTTATTTACATGAAATTCGAACACGTGTGACAACCACCGCGCTTCAAGGGCAATCCTAACGGAAAGGAACGCCAATAGTGAACAAAAATTTTCGTAAATATTACTGACCGCAAAAGACGTTCATCGCGAAGTGTCTTGTTTTCTAACAAAATGATTAATTGTAAATAGTTTTCATAATGGGAAAACGTATAACTACTGTAGTCCCCTCCCTCAGCTCTAGTCAACCTCTTTAGTAAACTGAACCGTTCCAACGCCTCCAGTAAAGTGAATTATTCCCACCCATACAGTAAAATTAATTATTCCCACCCCTCCAGTAAAGTGAATTATTCCCACCCCTCCAGTAAAGTGAATTATTCCAAGCCTTTAAAGCACAGAATCCAGGGAACAAAATGTCATGAAAGTTAATTACACTCTGATGTTACCATAGAAACCAAACTGCACCTGTCATAGGTGCTCTTACAATATTTTGACTGTTAAAATGCTAAACACATGATCTTTCCACTCGTGCACTTTCCAATTATTTTTATTACATTTTTTGACACTGGAACAAAAGTACAAATGAAGTCCTTTTCTCTGTCACAAAAAGTTATACAACATAAAATACTTGAATAAACAATAACAAATTAAATTCATTCTCAGTTTTGTTTCAATTCTTTCCCAGCTATATTCTATAGTTTTCAATTTGTGGCATGCTTGGGTGGTTAAAATAAGAAAGCAGGGTTTCACTCGATATATATTACATGTTTAGAACTCGATATCACTGAATAGGGCGGATTATGTAGACTAATTGAAAGATTAAAGTATTACCCCCATTTATATATCAAAACGTTATGTTGTAAACACCGTGTTCTACATTCCTAAAAATCACATTACCAGTAAAACCACCATTGTTTTCAATATCAACCAAAACTAGAATGAAATTATAAGCTAATTATAAGCTAAATTAAGAAAAAATACATGAAAATTGTTAAAAACTTTGTTATTTGAATTTTCGAAAACAGTCTAAAAAAATCATCCATAAAACAATCCCAAGAATAATTGAATCCTAGATCTTCAAAAAGTGTGATTTAAAGAGTTCTATCAACATTTTTAGGTAAACATTAGGTATTTCTGGGAATATCAAAGCATAAATTTGGTATTAAGTAGACCATATTGTCAGACAGCGAAATCAATGTTTGATCTCATACCAAACTAATGGAGGCAACTCAGGGAAATTGACATCTAATGCACATCATACCATAATATTTCAAAAAAGATTGACAAGTCTTTGGAGAGTCCAGTTGATTTGAAATTGTTTATTTTACATGTTTATGCACAGGTAGGATTATTGTTGTTGCAGCACCCCCTAGTGTTAAGAGAAGGAAATGATGCAACGTAAATCACCTGAGGAGAAAATTTCACATGGAGTGTAACATTTTTATTTTGATTAATGTTTGTATTTCAGCCTGAAATTTGTATTTACATGTGGCGGTTAACTAATTTTTTACATTTTGAGCTGGTATCAGAAAG